CTTTAATAATACTTGTTTTGAGGAGATGGAATACATTTATGTTGGTTTCATTTCCTTTTAAATGCCTTTATCATCTTAATTGGAATCATATTTTATAACAGAGTAGATGGAGATATCTTTCCTCCAACCTCAACCTAGCTTAATTTTCACTCTAAAGAAGAAGCTGTTAGAAAAATAATTTTTAAAAGTAGCTATGAATAGACATAGTGTTAGGTCTAATTAGCAGGCATACAGCAGCAAAACGAGGCTGTGCTGGCCTCAAGTTTGTGAAAATCTGAAGGATGTATATTTAAATTGACTCTATCGGGAGAACTGAAGGTTACTCCCTTTTATGACTAAATAATAAGAAAACATACAACTAGGTGAGCTAGCCTAACAGAATAATAAATCACTCCTTGTTACATGCTCACGGCCGTTACATCCTATAGTTTCTTGGGTGGAGCAGAAATTGAAGATGGACGGTAGCTGTGGCAGATGTCAAAGGATTAAAAATGTGGAAATACCTTCCCACAGACAGAATTCTGTGTGATCAAGGCTTGTGGTTTGATCCAGACTAGAAGAAATAAAACGGCTGAAGCTAGTAGATGAAATGTGTTTTCAGTTACATGTAAGCTGTATCTTTGTGCTCAGTAGTGGCATCTTGCACAGCAAGATGCTCTTTTTGCTTTCAGTAGCCTATGAACTAGTACATAAAATCTCACGTTAAATTTCTGAGCCTTTGCTGTTGTAGGTATGTAGTACTATACCTACGTATGTATAAAAGCTCCACCTATTTAATCTATTGAATGTGATGCACTCAGAGGGCCCCACTGATCACTTAAAGGCCCAGTATCTCTGCGGCACAGAGCAGACTCAAAGTAGTCTTTGCAAATCTTCCTTGATGTTATGTGTATGAGAGACATGGCATACAGGTAAGCATATACTTCTGGGAGGTACTGGATTACCTAGCTGGCTAGCTGGTTGGAGTCTGAATGTGGACCAAGGCTTGATCTGTCTGGTTTACAATTGGGAAGGTGTCATTTTTAGTCATACCAGTTTTCAAAGAACCTATTCATTATACAAGCATGAGCAGAAAGAAGACACTTCTAAATATAGCTGTTATTTTTTCCATTTAAAAATGTGGATCTTTTCCAGAGTGCAGTGGTATGTTTGAACTGCTGAAGAGATTTGGTTAACTGACTAGCACATGGGATGTAAAGGAATGTTTTCAGTCACTAAAACATGAATATCAATCTGAATGAGGAAATATTGCAGGCTAAACTAATACATAGGAACATCAGTTCTTCTGTTAACATCCCAAGCAAAGTTTACCCACAGACATTAGAAGTGCTGGTTCTCAGTAAAAAAATTTCAGGAGAAGAAACTATTTCATAGAATCATAGAATCATTAAGGTTGGAAGAGACCTCTAAGATCATCGAGTCCAACCGTCAACCCAACAACACCATGCCCACTAAACCATGTCCCTAAGCGCCACATCTACACGTCTTTTCAATACCTCCAGGGATGGTGATTCAACCACCTCCCTGGGCAGCCTGTTCCAATGTTTAACCACTCTTCCAGTAAAGAAGTTTTTCCTCATGTCCATTTCATATATTTCTCAGAAATTGTGATGTGAAAATAATAGGTGTGATGTTGGATTCTGTAAAGAAAAGGAGGAGTCTTCACCTCTATTTGAAATAAGGCTCTCATTAAAACAAAACAAAATCAAAACCACCTCAAACTTAGGGCAAATTATATTTCTGTAATAAAATAAATGTAATAAAAATTTGAAATACTCCACTGTTGAGTTTTTATGCTTTTTGCTTAAAATTGAATATTATGTACATACTCCAAAATACATAATCCCACTATTGTGCATCGGATAAAAGGATAACAAATACTGATATTGAGAGTCAACTGAACTGGTAAGTAGGTTAGCAGTCACCTTAATGTCCCATTTTTACTGGTTTTTGGGGCCAAAGAGTAATACAACAAAAATGTAAGAAATAATCATGTAAAGAATTAGTTGAATTTTATGCTGAAATAGCCAAAAGGTACACAGAAGTGGCAGTTACTTTGGATATAGCTTCTTCAAAGTCTCTGAACTTTCTTTGTAATAATTTTTTTTTTTTGCATACATTTAAATTTGTAATATTGTACTACAGGTTTGCAATAGTATAATTGACAGAAATCTTTCATTTACACAACTACTCAGAAATCTTCCGATAGTAAAGTTTTTTTTTTAATGAGTCCCTAGAAGTTTTCTCCTGCCAACTGTTTTGTGGCATGCTGTGCTTGATACAAGTCGAAATGTAAATAGCCCCTAGCATTCCTTCCCAGGCATACTGGTAGAGGGAATTGCAGTTGCTTTGAATTGCTAAGGCTATATTTTTACTTTGGTCTAGTTAAATCTCATCACCATTCACATAGCTACTGTTATGTACAGAAAGCTGTTGTTAACTTTTATGAAGTACAGTGAAGGTAATTTCTTTCATTAATTTAGGGACAGTACCATGCAAACCTGTTGCTGTTCCTACTGGTCTCAAAGGTAGAAGTGTCAATAATTTCAGCGGGAAAGGAAAATGAGGCAGTGTTTATTGGTCTGCATGGGGCTGGATATGAGAGTTTGACTTTGGTCAAAGGCCTGCAAAGGCTTGCTAAATTTGGGAGGAGCGGATGGATTAAATGTTTAAGCTGGCTAAGGAAGATGGCAACAATCATGTGCAGTATTGCCAACATTTGAGCACCTTCATTTCCTAGGCAGCCTTTTTTTGCCTTTGTTTCTCTTGCCTTCAGCTTAAAGTAAATGTCAAATATTTTGAATCTCAGTGTTGATGCTGTTGTAGAGTTACGTGGGTGTGCCCAAAGCCTCTGAAAGATGCCTAGTCTTGACAGCATGCTTTTTTTTCTTTGATCCAAAAAGATTGAAGTTTTTTCTGACACTTACCTTACCTTGACCTGCTCCTTATGTTTATGCACTGTAAGCTTGCACCTCTTCTGCCTCCAAGTTGAGATTAATGACAAGAAACTCAAGAAACCCCAAGGCTTTTAAAATTCAAGCACCGTCTCGTTCCTGGTTAAGTGACTGCAGTGTTAACTGTTCATCCCAGAAGAACAGTACTATAACCTGTCAGCCATAGTATTGGATCTCTCAGTTGTTAATCAGCTGGAACATCTTAAATTTATCAGATTACAGGCATTTTTAAGGCCCCATCTGTTTTTAGTGGTCCATCTCAGTGTGACTCCACCATGGATTTAGTACAAATCTCAAACCCAGCCTACTTTTCCTATTTGTCTTCCTCTAGCTTTGCATCCTAAGGTGTGATTTCTGGGAATAGTAATGGAGGATATTTACAGAAAATAGGAAGGAGGAGGAGACTGGGAAAGGAAGGAAGCATTTGGAGTTCAGTCTGAGCAGTAGTATTAGCCTGCATCTGCCTTGTGCAGCTGGGAAACAACGTTCTTATTTGCACAGTGAATAGATGTGCAATGCAGTTGTCACAAACTAGGTGCAGTAAAACTTACAAATATTTTTCTTTTGTATCATAATAGCACTTTTTCAGATGCTAATGACTGCAATTCATACCAGTTTCCTGAACTTGGAAAAGTGCTGCATATAAACTTTGCCCGGAGGGCCACTTGTGTCCTCTAGGAGAATAAATTTAGAGTTTAGAAGTTCAACTGCAAGTTGTTCAGGCAAACAAAAACATAGTTTCAGAAGGAAGTGTCTAGAACTGTATAATATGAAGGAGGTGGATTCACAGAGTCTTGCATCTTCCGAAGTAAATCACATTTGGGTTAAGGCTGAGCATTCAGTTAAAGACAAAAGGTTTGGAAGGAGGAATGGGAGTAGGAAATGAGGGAGGGACTTCCGTATGTGTTAAATTTGGCATAGGAGGGAGAGTTTAACATGGGAAGGGGTTTGTGTTTGTCATTTTAAACATGTCTGTAATGTTATGCTGCTGGGAGGAGTTGTTTGTTTCTGTCCTGTCTGAAAGCCAAGTGTGAACTTCTGAAGAGACTGTCCAGTGCAGCGTATCTATTCAAGAATGTATATGAGTTTGCTCTTTAAATACAATTTGGATGCATATCCCTTCAAACTATTTATAATGTTGCATCTTTCCACTTCTGGAGTAGCAAGTTCTGGACCTGTTCTGCTTCTTTACCTGAACCTTGTGTTGGAAAAAAATGGGGCTTAAGACAGCACTGCAGTCCTGTTTGTGAAACTCTAAAGTTAGGCTAGGCTGTGGTGTTTTGCTTATCAGATTAAGTGCTTCTTTCTTACTGAATTGTATTGTGTTTCTGCCTTGTGTCTTCACAGAAATGAAGTGTATAGTCGCTGATATCTTTGGACTTGTACGTTCTGACCCTTTCTGTGAACCACATGAATTCTTCTGTTTTACCTACACAGTAGTTGATAATGCTTTCTGTATTTATTCACAATTCTTGTTTTTTGAAGGTCTTGGTACCCCTGGTTCTGCTACAACAATTTCTGATGGAGTTAACCAGACAGGGCCAGGAACCACTGAGTGCACTTGTGAACTTCGGGGTGACATATCTAGAAGACTATTCTGCAGACTATATCATTCAACAAGGAGGATGGGTAAGAAGACAATGTTTAATTTTCATACTTTGTTCAAAGCTTATTTCTAAGTGTGATACTAGTCTTAATAGGAGTAAAAGCTAAGAGGCATTGCTAGAAGTAAGCAGATGAGACAAGGAATGCCCCAGAAAAAGCAAAAAAAAGGCGGGACGTCAGGACCATATAGTTGGAAAGGGATCTTGGGCAGTCATCTATTTCACTTCTCTGCCCCAAGGCAGAACTGACTTCTACCCATTCATTTCTGATGCTGACATTAAAGACCAATGTGATTGGACTCCACAATTTCCCTGGGCAGTCTGTTCCAGTTCTTTGCATGTCTGGTTTGCTGGATTGCCATTGAAATCAAAGAGGTCCTCAGATGTTAAATAACAACTAGTTTTCATACACTGTGTGTTAAGATGCTAATATGTTGCTATATGGTGAGCTTTTGTTTGTATGTTCTTTCCTGTTAATATACATACAGAATTGCATTTAGAAGCAAACACCTATAATGAGATACTGTGCCTGAGAGGCTCATCTTTTTAGTATTATCTTCATGCTCTGGTGACTGCTGGAAATGATAATATAGTTTTTTTTCCTCTTAAATTTCAGAGGGCTTTTTAGCAGTAAGTAATTGGGGAACACTTCATACAGAAGTGTCAGTAGCTACGAATTTATTTGTATAATAAGTGGTAAAATAGCTAATGCATATTGGATTTTACAGCTACATAGGAACATGGATAGAATGAGCAATCAAGATTTCTTTGAGCTGCATTTCCTTGTGGAAATCTTCAGTTCACGGTAGCCAATGTTCCTGAGTCATGGCACGCTGAGAAAGTTTCATTTAAAAATACATCACAGAGGCAGCTCACAGCCCATGAGCTGGGTCTTGAAGGTAGAACTGTGCTAAAGGAGGCTGAGCTTCAGATTACTGGGTTTGGGAAGGATGCCAGATGTGAATGGAATTAATCTGGGATTAGTGAAATGGCTCCAGCAAGTTGATTTATTCTAAAAAGAAAAGCTGTTCAGGAAAACCCAGTGATTAAAAAGTGCTAGTAGGAAAAATCTCATTCAGACAGCTTCTCATATTTCAGGACTTTACCTGAAGTTTTTTTTTAAGAGTAGTTTGTTCCAGAATTTCTGTACGTCTGCACCTTCCTATATCCTTTCCCTTCCCGGCAATCGTGGATAATAGTTTTCAAAGCCTTCGGGTGGGATTGTTTGTCTTTAATGGACAGAAACACTGACATCATGCCACCAAATGACCATAGGTCATTTGATAAATGCACTCACATTTCAAAGTATTTTCATCACAGGGAAGGTCCGTCCTTGCAGCTTTAAGACAGATGGATGTTAGTGGTATTTTGCTCTTCTGCTTTTTTTTTTACCCTCAGAAAAGGCTGCAGTCTGTTCTCTAGCCCCTATTTGACGCCTGCGATATAAACATACTTAATACAGTGCAAAGCCTCTGAAAACAAGCAGCTTTCCAGCATGGCCTCCAAGGGAGAGGGCTGTGCTTTGTGTTTGTGTGACTGTGCATGTATGTACAGGTCTGGGTAGTCGGTGTTTAATGGGCTACGAGCTTGTCTGTATACATCCAGTCAGGCATAAAATCAGACTGACATAAGCGGTACAGCAAACAAGCCAGAGCTATTTTTGAAACAGCAGAAGAGGCGAGGAAAGAGACAAGGTGATGAAAATCCTTTCCAGCCGAATTAATGTAGCTGCACTAACTCTTTGTGAGTTGCTCTGGGGATGGGGTTGGGGACCCATTGGGCTTGTGGCTTTATGTGGAGGAAGGGAATATATGGTTTTATTGTTTTGTTTTGTTTTGTTTTTTTCCCTGTAAGGAAAATGTTCATTTGTACTGAGTGGCATGCTTCTTGGTTTGTTCCAAGTCTGTGGGATGGTGTTCTGGGGATGGCAGTGCTGGGAGCGGGGCGTGGGGTAAGGCTTGGGAGAGTTTGTGTTTCTGAGAAGGGCCGGAAAAGAGCTGCCTGGCAGGCTGTGAGCCATCTCGCAAGTGTTTTGCATTTTTTAAGATAAGCATCTGCCACAGAGGCTCTGTGTGCCCGATCAAGTTGTCAGTAATACTTTGCTAGAGCCATAAGGACAATGTATAAACCTGGGAGTCTCCAGTGAATTATGTTGCTGTGAGAGTAAGAGGTTCAATTTTTGTGTTATTCCGGAGCGGTGTGAAGATCGGTCTTTCCTACAGCTGCTAAGAGCTTACTTAAAACTGAGAAGATACCAGAATAGCCTGTCTGTTTTTTCATGGATCAGGAGCAGAGGAGATCTTCACAGGAGTCAGCTTTTCAGGGGCAGACCTGAAAAATTCTGTAGTGTCTCTGGTGCTGTCTCTTCCCTTGGCACCACATAATTTGGGGTCTTCCTCCATTTTTGGATTGAAGTCAACCTTTGCCAGGAGGGAAGTGGCCAGTCGAAGGTAAGGGGTCAGCTGAGCCCTCCCTATGCCTCACTGCGGATCTGCAGAGTCAGAATTTTACGGAGCTGTGTCATCCAGTGGGACCACTTGCTGTGTCATGCTGTGCAGCCACGATGCGGCTGGAAAGGCTACCGAGGTTCTGCATGTGTGCAAGACTTCAAGTTGTTTTGTGGGCTTGGGAGGCTTGTAGGTCCAGGAAAGCATCTGTTGAGGATGATAGACAACAGTTAACTAGAAGAGAAATTGCTAGCTCAAGGGAATAAAGGTTGATAAATTGGATAGCTATGCAGTAGATTTCAAGAAATCGGCTTGGCTTGTGAGGAATGGGAAATTTGGGATACTAGAGGTAGAGCCTCTGAGATGAGAAGTCGCTTTTTGATTTTTCATCCCAGTCCTGCAGAGACAGGGTGATGAGATGGTGTGTTGAAACAATGAGTGTTCCCCTCCCATTCTCCCTTCAGGCACTAAAATTGTAATTCAGCTAACTTTTCATGGTAGGGTGGGACTGGGATGTAACGGTTGGTTGGTTTGCGAGGGAGTGGCTGGCATATTTTTATGTTCAAGTGCATACAGTATTTTGATACTGTGATTCTGGCCGTTGTGTATGCTGTTCCCCTTCCCCTTGGTCTGTTTTACTGCTTTAGGGTGAAAGTCTTCCAAGTAGGAATGTCTGCAGTGTACTGCACGTTGTGTTTGGATGCAGTTGGCAACATAATCGTGAATGAAGAGATGAAATGACTACTCCATCTAGTTTACAATCCCTTAGATTTGCAGGTAGATGCAAGTTGAGTTTGGAGGACTGTAGGAAAGCAAAGAAATCTTGCTTTCTTCTGGACAGTCTCTCACTAATTGCAGTGACAGGTTTGGCTGCAGCTCTTACATTTACGCTGCTTGACTGTAAGTTTTAGCGTAATCTCTCTTTGGAGCAGAAAGCATGTTTGGCATTCCAGGTTCTCTAAATAGCCACATGTGGGGGGACACATTTCTTCCTCCTGACTCTCTGTTTTGAACCTAAATGGTCATACTAAGATCTCGTTCCCTTGTTGTTTTGAACTGTTGCAAACCAATTCCCAGCCTGATTTAGCAGTTGCTTCGTTCTTCTCTTTCCTGAAAGCAATGTTAGGGCTCAACAAACCGACATGCAGTGTACATGCTCTCCCCTCCCTTCTCCTCCTCTCCCCTCCCTTCTCCTCCTCTCCCCTCCCTTCTCCTCCTCGTACCTCCCCTCCCTTTTCGCTCTGACTTCTCCAGCGCTGAATGCTGCTGCATCAGAAGCAATTCTTGGTCTCCTGGAAAAGTGCACAGTAAGGCCAGTCAGTTGGTAAGGATTTTTTTCCTCTTGCTTTCCCACCCCTCCTCCCAAATAATTTATTTCTTCTCAAGCTCTGCGGATCCTGTTTTCCATGGTTAGATTTCATCTATGTTGAAATAGTCTGGGAATGTCTATAAGGAGGAAAAAGTATGAAATTACTTGGAAGCTAGCTGCTTTTTTTTTTCTTTCTTCTCAGATTCACATTCATGTTACAAGCCCATCTGCTTTTCACTTGTTTTTCAAACAAGAAGCGAAATAAGTGTGTGCAGTCCGTGTTTATTGGTATTCAGTTAATAACCTTTCTTCTCTCAGTAAGAGGCTGGTATTTGTATTTGTGACCCGTAGCTGAAATTGTCTCTGCCTTCCCAGGGTTCTTGTCTCATGATGTTCAGACCTGGATTTGAATTTAACTAGTTATTTGCCCGTGTTGAAGAGAGTAAAGGTAAATTTGCTTGAAATATGCGTAGCGTTTACAGTTTCTTATCTCAGCCTTAGAAGAGTTGTTCTCTGTTTCCAGTGTTCTGTCTTGGGCTTTTCTGTCAGCTTTGACATTTTCTTTGCTGCTGGTGATTGAATAATCTGCGTACCAGAGTCTGTTAACAATCTGGAGGAGAAAAAGAGTAGAGACACACTTGTCATCCTGGGGGAGCGAGGCAGTCAGTTTGCGCTACTGGAGATTAAAATCTCCTTCTGCAGCGGTCCAGGTGTCTGCCTTGAGAATGACAATGCAGAAATAGAGCGCCGTGCTCCACTGGAGGAGAAATAAGTAAGTTTAATACGGTAGAGATGCGAGAAAGGGCAATCTAATTGGAGAAGTTCTAGAAAGGAGTTTTCCTTTCAAAACGATTATACTTTATGCTTGTATCATGGAACACTGCAGTGAAACATCCACTTTTATTTGTATGTAACTTCTTTGGTACAGTAATAGATTTTTTTATTTTTTAGGCCCTATGGCTGAAGGAGAAGGAACTTAAATGGTCAAGGAGCAACTATATCTCCTTTCTTTTTTCCCTTCCAACAACTTCAAATCGGTCTGTCTGAAGAATTGGTCTCTAAATAACTGAATTTACTTCAGTTTAAACCGATAAGGCTGAAACCTTAAAGGGTGTTGCTTTGGTGCTGACTCTCTGCAGGTAGTAGAGGTTATGTTGGAGGGCAGGGGAAGGAATAGGATCATTTCTGCAGGCTGTTCTGGCTAAAGCATTCCTTGGAGGGGATGAGAGCAGTGGCTGCAATATCGGTGTGGTTTGATTCTTCTGCCAT